TTTTTTTCCCCCAAAGCCCCAGTAGATAGTTGTATGTCGTAGTTGCACATGGTCTCAGCATGGCCGGAGAAGCGGTGCATCGGTGCGCACCCGGGATCTGAACCCGGGCTGCCAGCAGCGGAGTGCGCACACTTAACCACTAAGCCACGGGGCCAGCCCCGAGTTAATTTTTAAATGTTCGTTTTATTAAATTAGTGTCTCATGTAGTGGCCACTAACTCAGCAAATAAGCTTTTTTAACAAATTAATTAATTGGAAGGTGGAGTAAAGGCGCTTTCTCTGTCCCTCCCACTAAGCACGACTGAGGTGTCTCTGGAAGGTGGAGAGAAGGCCGACCAGCGAGGGGCCCTGGGGCCCGAGGCCCCTCGGGGCTGAGGGTGGAGGGCCTGTGCCTTCTTTCCCGCATGTCCCAGACTTGGGCTGAAGAAGCTGCAACCCGGAAACAGGGGCGGGTGCAGACCCGAAAAGCCCCACGAACGCTGCTCCCTCCAGCCCGAGGACTGGGAAGGGCAGCCCAGCAAGACAGAAAGCTTCCAGACAATGACTGCTCTGCTCCACCAAACACCACAGAAAACACCACGGCCCCCGAGCCCCTCAGCCACAGCCAGGCAGGAGCCTAGACCTGCAGCGCCCCCAGGCTGGGACGTGGCTGCCCAAACCCACCAGTGCTGTCAGAGAGCCGAGGGGGGCCAGGACTTTGGTCCCTGCCCAGCAGGAATGAGAACCCCCCCGCCCCCGTGGGTGGTGTCAGGAGCGGAGTGGACAGTTAGAATTGCACCGTCGCCCGTGCTGTCAGTGGAGACGTGTGGGGCCCAGTAGCAACGGGGACCCCGTACCCACAGAGGCCAGGCGAGCAACCTGGGCTTCCACCTCACCTGTCGGTGACGTGGCAGCCCCCTTCCCCTGCGGAAGATGCGTCAGAGAAAGTCAGTTAAAACAGAGGGTTTAAGTAAGATCATGGACCTCATAATACGCGACGTCCAGGTTTCAGTGCAGAGTCAGTCCTCGTTCCAAGAACCAGGAAGAACCCGGGCTGAATGAGAAGTGAATAAATGCCGACAGGAAGATGACTCGAATCTCTGCAC